TGGATGGCCTCCATGCTATTTTTACTAAACTAGAATCAATCAATCAATCGGTGAGCTCTCGTATGAGCTGTAAACGGGATAATCAGCAAGATGTATAACATCTTCTCCTAATTCCCCTTCTGACACCACGTACAGCAGGAGACAGGCATGTCAGGTGGGGTGAAAAACAGCTCTAGAGCAGACAGTGGGATGAGAGGAGTGGAACGTAATCTAGATTTCTATCAATCCACACAGTTACTGTCATTTGTCAGTACAACGGAGATAGTGATGCGACCACCAGTCGGCGGGGCCACCAAACAGGAAAGGTTAAACCTGCCTAGGGGGTACTAAAAACTGTGAGTGTGACTTGTTTTGTTTGCAAGATCCGGCTGCTGCAATAATATTTTATTTGCCTTTATTTCATAAAAGGACCGCTGCATTATATTTTTGGTTTTGCAATTGTACAAGCAGTTCAGTCATTCAGTGCCAATGACTATTCATGCCAAGTATTGAGGTGTGTTGTAACTGACATACTGCAGCAAGTAAGTTATGCCTGTATAAGTGGTGACCTTTAAGTGCGGTTACATGTCATTAGAAATTAAATTTATTACAACTGAAATCACAAATAAAAATGTTTCACACTATTATACTGTATATTAGGTGTCGTTAAACCATATAATCATCGGAATGTACTAAATGTAAAAAACCTGATTTTTACCAATGTGACTTTTTGTTTGCAGTGAAAAAATATTGTGCCAATGAAATGGTTGAAAGAGACAGAAAGCAGGTAGCAGAGCAAGGGAAGGAGCAATAAACAAGCAATAGAGTTGGAGAGGGAGCAGAAAACAAATAACACCAAAGACAGAAAAAAAATTATTTGAGTTGGGAGGAGGGGTTGTCCACGCAGTGGCTGTGGGTCTAGTATAGCCGACAGCGGCAGCTTGCAGTTTTAATGAAAGTGTCTGTGGAGGGGAAAAGGTTTCATTAAAGCGATATTGGAGGGCAGGATCATTTCATCCTTGCAGCCCACACACACAGAAACACACACAGCCACACAGACGCTCTGGAGGGCTAACACCTCTGTAACCTCCCCATCATCCTATTTCCCTGACTCCATTTCATCTGTGCTGATCTAAAAGGCAGGGGACCATTTGAAGCAATGCCAGATGGATGTGTTCTGATACTCTCCTCGGTTTGTCCAGTTTTTCTGTAAATACAAAAAAAAAAAAAAAAAGACAGTGCAGTGCGGTGGCAGTTACAGCTAGAGGAGGAAACCTTCACCGAAAAACAATTAAAAAAATACTAGATAGCTGTGTTTAAGGTCAGATTGCCAATATGGTTTTAGGTCGAACAGATCGACATCTTTGGCCGTTACCGACCTGATGGAGGACATAACAAGTGCTATGGATGAGAAGAAATACACAATGGGAATATTTATTGACCTAAGAAAAGCATTTGACACAATCAATCATGAGTTATTAATGGATAAGTTAGAAAAATATGGGATCAGAGGAATGGTTCTGAATTGGATTAGAAGTTATTTGGCACAGAGGCGTCAATTTGTGAAGTTGGGTGAATACCAATTGAGTGAGCTGGACATTGTATGTGGAGTGCCTCAGGGTTCTGTTTTGGGACCTAAATTATTTATATTATACATTAATGATATATGCAAGGTTTCTGATTTAGTGAAAGTGGTTTTGTTTGCTGATGACACTACCATATGGGCATCGGGTGAAAACCTACAGCAACTCTCTGGACAGGTTACACAGGAACTTGAGAAGATAAAGAAATGGTGTGACAGTAATATACTATCTCTGAATTTGGATAAAACTAAATTCCTGGTATTTGGGAAACGCAGACTAGATAATGAACTTCAATTGAAAATTGGGGGAGCTAATATAGAACGAGTATATGAAATTAAATTTCTAGGTGTCATAGTTGATAACAAATTCTCCTGGAAATCTCATATCAGATATGTTCAGAACAAAATAGCAAAAAATATATCAATATTGGCAAGGGTTAGATATATT